CGTTCCAATATAGTAGTAAGCTTTGTTAATCCTTTCGATTCTGAGCCATTTTCACATCAACTTGAATCTATTTTTAACTTTTCCGCGCGTTTTTCGGTTTGATCAAGCGACAAAAATACTTTTGATCAAGTGATTTTATTACCACTAGCCACCATCATAACTTGATATATATAAATATTTAACAATTTCACATCAGCCGTATATTGTGCCCCATTACAATCACCATCTTTTGACATCATTTGTGATATATATTGTTAATGTATTTAAGGAGAAAAGCTTAATAAATAGGGGTTGACATGGGATCCAAACCCTTTGGATTAAACCAAGATTTGCACAAAGCATTTGAATATTTTGAAAATTCTGCTGAATTGGGATGTATTGATGGAATTTTCAGAGTAGCTTATGCCTACCACAGTGGTGAGGGTGTTAAATTGGATTATTCAAAGGCAATGGAATATTATTTGAAAGCTGCAGAGATGGGAGATGCTTTGGCAAAGAATAATATTGCAGACATGTATTTGAAAGGCCAGGGAGTTCAACAAAATTTTCAAACAGCTCTCAAGTGGATCAAAGAAGCAATGGAACAAGGTAATTGTGGCGATAGTTTTGCAACTTATGGAGAAATGCTTTTTAATGGAAATGGTGTGGAAAAAGATTACAATACGGCCTTTGACCATTTTAAAAGATCATCAGATACTGGAGAAAATTATTTCGCACATTTTCTGCTTGGAAGGATGTATGAGTATGGATGGGGTTGTAAAAAGGATATCAATAAGGCTTATGTACTATATTTGAGAGGAGCCAAAGATGGAGATGATGCTGCTATTGCTAGATTGGAAAGCCCATTCAAGAATTCGTTATTTACGAAATCGTTCCACCTATTTGATACAGTAATATTAACGGTGGAAAATGAAGATAGTTGAAGTGTATGGTATTATTGAAATAACAATCGTTTAATTTATTTCAGTATTAAGAAAAAGATTTCCAATATTCTGAAACAATCGTTACATTTTATTGTTTAATTACCAACGTTCAGCAACTTGTGGATTGTTGATAGCTGCCAAAAGTTCCTTAATTCTTGCATCGGTTTGCACGTTAACTCTTGAATAAATGTATGGATTGGTGAGTTTCAAATCTTGAATGCTCTCCTTTAATTGTTCGAATTCTTTCAAAACCTGTCTCAATTCATCCTTTGATCTACACAAGTAATCTTTACAGAGAATCTTTTGGAAAACTAATCTGGCATCATTATCATATTTTTCCATATAAAAGTCCATTGCTTCTAAACACTTATCAGCATACCCAAGAGCAATCATTCCATTAGCAGCATAACAAAGAGAATCAATAACAAAACTTGGATCCACAACTGATTCAAATCTTTCAACAGAAGAATAGGCATTGACTGCTAATTCATACATGTCACAAGCATAATAGCAACCTCCCTTAATCATATAAC